GACCCACCCAAAATTAAAAATTAAATGGACCCCACTACATGTGAGTGTTATGTACAACTTTATGTACATTTATTATGTACACATAACATTACTCTTGAATATTTGATGGAGCTCTTCATGTGAATCGCCCCCATAGAATTTGAGAAGAATATGGAAGACCACTTTTTGTTTCCTCCATTCAAATATTTGACGAACACGACGATTTTCGACGGACTCATGGCTTGGGAAGACATCAACTTTCGTTGCCCCCATGTACATTTTCTTCACATAGGTCTTCATGCATCTTCAAAGATCTTCAAACTTGATATGGAGAGACGAGATGAGAGGTAGAGAATGTCCCACTGGGCGTACCAAATTTGTAACAATAAATTTTATGAAAAACATAAAAATTTATGATGTGTTTGATTTATGGGGTGTTTGAGGTGTGATTTTTTACCTTGAGGAGAGCCCTATTTATAGGTGTAGGAGAGATTATCTTGGAAAAGAAGACATCAATTTGATTGATCCTTCTTAATTTGATATAATCTATTTCCTTATCATAAGATTTGACTTGGTGGGCAAGAAATAATAATTTTATTAATTAATATCTTATTTATCATGAATTTATGCCCCAAAATAAATAAAGACATTAATTAATAAAATATTAAAATTTCGATGCCTACAAACATACATCACATGAGAAAAAAAAAGTTTAAAAGTTTACACTGAGTTGCAAATTGTATACAAGTAAAAAATCTGTAGTTGTTTCTAATAATTTTTTAAAAATACCATGTTATTTGAATTTATTAATAGTATTTTTTAAATATAATCACTTTCAATCCATAAATTTATTAAGTATTTTTATAACAGTCTTTTTTTTAATATATTTTAGCGATTATCAAATATAATTTACACAATATATTCAAATTGTTGGTAGTTTTATAGATTTTTTTCTCATATAATATAATAAAAAACTGTATAATAAGAAACAAAATTTATCAATACCTTTTTAACAAATTTGATAAATACGTTGATAGAAAAAATATAGTAAATTTATAAAATAATATAGTAATAGTAATATTTATAATAACATAAACATAAAACAAACAATATAATGAAATTAAATATACCCTCATTTTGTGCGCACTCACCGATTCAAGAGGCTACGACGCACTTATTATTTTGCACGAGTAAAATCTCTATATATATAAAAAAGTTTGATTATTTTTTAAATAGTAAATATTTCTCGTTAAAAAAAAATATTTACTATTTTGATAAATTAATTTAACAATTTATGGTATATTTTAAATAATCACTTATGAAAATTGCGGCTCATTGCAATAAAGTGGGTGAAAAAAATTGTAAGAAATTTTATTTCGAATTTAACTAGATGATGTGTTTCATTTTGGAATTTTTCATTTGCATGGAACCAGATTTGTCTGTATGTTTCCAAAATTATCATATAAATATAGATCAACCTATAATTGAAATGATTAGTTTTCCAATCCTCCTTATATATAATTCTCGAATGCGCTGAGCCTACGTGGCTGTTTCTGGTGCTTCGTAATCCTACTTGGCAAAGAATCATGTTTCGTAATTAGGTTTGGACACATAATATTAATATATTAATAATTAATAATCTAGGTTCGGACTTTCCATAAATATTATTTATCTAACTTAGGTATTTTACTATCATTTGTACTAATATAACCCTATAATTATTTGTAATTTTAAATATTGAGACACTAAGTGACTAATATATCACTGACTTTGATTTGTTTCCTTTAATTAACTATTGAATTGTAAA